AAACTCAAGGATTATTCTGTTATTCTGTGAAGAGCTCTGCAGCTCGTGTCCTCTCCCGCACCAAGTTCTGTGACCCATCACCCCCACCCTCGCCCGGCTCCACTGGCTCCCAACCCCCCAAGAGGATAGAGTTACAAAATCATTGTCCTCGCCTTCAACCTGTCCACTGGTCTGCTCGGGTCTTCAGCCTTTCTGCCCCCACCCTATGGAACTCCATCCCACATTCCCTTCGCCTCACTCACTCCCTTGCCTCCTTCAAGCTGTGTCTCAAAACCCTCCTCTTCAAACGAAACTTCAGCCACACTCCCCGATCCCGACCCTCTGCTCGGGTCCAGAAAGTCCAAATCCTTGACTGTCCATCATCTTGGGACGTCCTCCCGACGCAAAAGGCCCTATACAAATGTTACTTTGTATCATATTTCAAATGCAGAAGATTCATATAACATTGGCAGACTTAAGTTTCAAGACTTACTTTTTTTAATCTATTAACATAAGATGGATTTGGGATTTCACCATGTCCATTCCCATTCCCCCCCTTCCCCCCCGGAGTAATCATGACAGATCCAATTTGCATTAAGTAAGGATCAGTAAGGAGCCAAAAAGAAAACTAGTTGCAAAATATTATTTTCTTGTTTAATTGTAATGACCAAATTCTATTATAGCATATCGACATCCGGAATGTCGACATTCAGAAAGCTACTTTAAAATGTCTCTACAATATGTTTAACTCCAACTTCACTCAGCAACTATCCTTCTGAGATCTGCAAGTGAGATTGGCAATTTAGTACCGATTTGTGTAGAATTTATGAACCGCTTTTTGCTTTGAATTGTGTCCACTAGGAACTGGTTTAAAACTACCTGAACTCATCTGAAATAGACTTTGGAAATACCAAAAGAAGGAAACTTGAATCTGATCAGTTTGCTAGATTTTTACATTGTTGGAGAGAAAATAAGATGAAGTATACACTTCATACAATCCACTTTAGAGACACTGGTAGAGGCCGGAGAGAGTAGGTGTCAAGCTCAATCTGTGGAAGCTGGTGAATTGGGTGACTCGAAAGAATAAGAGAGAAAAGAAAGAAGATGCAAGAAAACAAAATAAAGAGTTTTTAAGGATTAAAACTTTACAAAATGCAAGCTTAAGGTGATACCATTTCCAACAGGAACCAAAGTCGTGATAGAGCTCATAAATTCTCAGTTCCAAACCAATTTTTCTACAGTCCCAAAGACCCGTGTAGCATTAATATATTTGACGTTGATAGGTTTTGCCACTGGTAGTAAATTCTGAAAACCAGGGAATTGGTGTAAGAACAAACCTGATGGAAAGTAAGTTTTTTTTACTCTCACTCCCACCCTCGCTCGCCTCCACTGGCTCCCCATCCCCCAGAGGATCGAATTCAAGATCCTCATCTTCACCTACAAGGCCATTCACGGCCTTGCTCCCTCCTACCTCTCCGACCTACTATCCCCCTATTTACCTGCCCGTACCCTCCGTTCCTCTGGCTCCGGTCTGCTCCACATCCCCCGCCCGAACCGCCCTACCATCGGTGACCGGGCCTTCAGCCTCTCAGCACCTAGGCTCTGGAACTCCATCCCCCAGTGCCTTCGCCTTCCGGTCTCAAGACCTTTCTCTTCAACCGTGCCTTCAGCTCCCCTCTCGACTCTTTACCCCCTCCTCGCTCCCTCCCTCCGTTCCCTCCCCTCACCCTGACCATTTCCCCCCTGCTCGGGTCCCGACCCAACTGTCCAGCGCCTTGGGACGTCCTCCCGACGTGAAAGGCGCTCCATAAATGAAATCTTGTTGTTGTTGTATTTGTTAATGTTCTAGTTCTATTTTGTGACAGATTGTACTAAGTATTAATGAAAAATGCAAACCTCCTGGGTAGCTGCTGTGAAATGACCATGTTTTAGGTCATTTGACTCTCAGACAACTAAATCTTATGTAAAACGATTCTTGAAGGACTATATTAGCAGATTATTATTGCTATTTTGTGAAATGACTACATGGTTATTTTTTGTTTTAGTATTCTATATATATTTAAAGAGGATACACAATAAAAATAAGTATCAAACTAATCTTTAAAGAATATTTTTGACATATAACCTCTATCAATGTTTTTTTAAAAAGCGATAGGTACTACCAGTGGCTTTTCATTATTGTAGTTTTCTTTCAGTTGTCAGAAAATGTTGTCCAGTGCATCTAAGATTTGGCTTCAACTATCAAATTTTCAGTTTGGAATCCAGACTTAATGAAATAAAATTGAAGAGATTACTTGATGGCAATTTTATTTTCTTCATAGTACTGTGATTGTTTTTGTTATTATGCAGACCATAAAAAGACCATTTAAACAAATTAATTTTGTGACTAATAAGCAGCACTTGTAGAAAACAAAGGGAGGTAAATCTAATCTTGCAGGTGGGATGTGCAGTCGTGTCAATGTCTCGGCAAGCGTAAAAGGTCAGTTGGGCTTCCCTCTGTGGGTAAAATGCACTGCCTGTTGTGCTATTGAATTATACTTATCAGTGTGGCGTCGGGTTTGATTTATAGCATCACATGCAGGGATTATCTAGTTTGTGATGACAAACTTGTCCACCAGGTGATGATGAAAATGGTCCCAATGCCTCTGGCCAGAAATGGGGGGTAATTATTCAGATTCCAACTCTTGATTGGTCTCCAGTGATCCCCTTTGGAAAGTATTCAGCTGCTACCATTGATTGTCTGGGATAATACATAAAGAATGGCAATTCGGGCAAAATACCAGAAGACAATTAGCATCTGGAAATATAGCCCAACATGTTTCACTGTCTTTAGGAGAGAAGGGGAGAAAATTAGGGGTGGAAAAAAAGGTTAGTTGGAACTTAATGTATCCTTTTCAAAATTAACTTCCTTCATAAATTGTTTTCTTTGTATTTTATAAAGTTTCTACAATTTGAAATGTTTCTTTGCCCAACAATATGTGCTGGTTTTAAAAAATGTTTATTCATGTCCCGCTGCAAAAACAAAGCAATTTGTCTGTGTTGATGGTGATATTGTTTTGTATAATTAAAATAAACTTTTAAATTAATGGTGCCAACACAAAACAGTATATTGCCAAGTTAGAGAATGTTTGGCAAATAATTGTAGCTGTTTGAAAATCTTAACCTTTAGTTAAAAGTCCTATTAAATGCAGTCTTAAATTTTAGGTTAAATGGCCTTTTTCAAATGTTTCTTCCTCTGAAAGGCTGTATAGAGAAAGAGACCATGTTGATTATTATTCAATCTCAAAATAAAAATAATGACTGTGAAACAAAATAACACATCACATAAATTACTATATATAGCCTTTGTTCCAGAACAATACATTTCTGTGAGGAGTTATCAGAAAGAATTTGTTTTCCATCACAGGAACTAATTGAATCGGATAGGGGAATGGTTCCGCAGGAAATTAAACTGATCATACTGATACTGTTAGAGATACCCTTATGGCTGCACATATCGTCACTGCATGTATGTTGCATTTGGCAGAGGTTTCACCTCTGGACAATATTGTGCATGACATGAGTTTGCTTGACATCATTTGAGTATAAAATGAAAAAGAAAATTCCATTCCTCGGTAGCTTGTCAAGCATACATGCATAATTGTAAAGTTCAATTGTCTCTTCAAGAGTTCCTCCATTTGTTGCCGAATGTTCTTCACTTCAACCAATTTAATGTGTTACAAAGGCTTCTATTATTAATGCTTTGTCCCCAGATAAATACATAGGGAAGGTGGACAGCTGTGCCACTTTTGTTCCTTTGCTTCTTTGGCTAGGGTCTATATGTCTACCATTATGTCCCATGAGAAGATTATTTCTGTGTTTGGACAGCCAGCATTTTTTGCTTTATATCACAGACACATAACATAAAAAAGCTCACCATTAAAGTTTTAAATAGTTGGAATTGATGTGGTTCGTAATATCAATCTTTCTCATAGACATAACAAAAAGAACAAGTAATCTTCTTTTATTAGCTTTGTCATTTTGAATTGGTAATGGATTTAGTGTTTACTAAATAAGCTCAACTATCTTCTTCCCCACATCCAAGCCATGACCCGCTCTGCCTTCCCTCACTTCCGTAACATCGCCCGACTCCGCCACTACCTCACCCCTCAGGCCGCTGAAACTCTTGTTCATGTCTTCATCACCTCCAGGCTCGACTATGCAAACGTCCTGCTTGTCGGCCTTCCCAACTCCTCCCGCCACAGGCTGCAGATAATCCAGAACTCTGTAGCCCATGTCCTCTCCCACACCAAACTCCATAACCCCATCTCCACCACTCTCGCCCGACTCCATTGGCTCCCTGTCCTTCAGAGGATCCAGTTCAAGATCCTGGTCCTCACCTACAAAGCTCTCCATGGTCTCGCCCCACCCTACCTCTGCGACTTCCTGACCCCCTACCAACCCGCCCGCTCCCTCCGCTCAGCCGGCTCTGGCCTGCTCCACTTCCTCCAACCCACCCACCCCACCATTGGCGGGAGAGCCTTCAGCCACTCTGCCCCCAACCTCTGGAATTCCATCCCCCAATCACTCCGGTTCGCCCCCTCCTTAGCCTCCTTCAAGTCCCACCTCCAAACCCTCCTCTTCGATCATGCCATCGGTCCCCTCCCTTCTCCCTCCCTGACCCCAGCTCGGGTCTGAAATGCTGTACACTGTCCAGCGCCTTGGGACATCCTCCCAACGTGAAAGGTGCTATACAAATGTAAGCTTGTTGTTGTTACTACGGTATTCTTCAACTTAATTCCAAATCCCATTTCCTGTTAAACAACCAACATTATTCAAGGTAGAATCAGTAATCCAAGTTATTCAAGATGCACCAAAAGGCTTCCTTATTCACCAAGGACTATTCTTGTTGATTATCAGCATAATTGGCACAATGGGAAAAGCTAACTTGACAATCCTATGTAAAACTGTTGAAAGTTCACTTACGTCATGGCATTCAAATTGATGAAATAATAACTGAAGATTACATTCTATCATTGCAGGAACATTCCGGTGTACCTTCTGTCATACTGAGGTAGAAGAGGATGAATCTGCATTACCAAAGAAAGACGCAAGAACACTTTTGGCAAGATTCAATGAGCAGATTGAACCGATCTATGCCCTATTGAGAGAAACTGAAGATATTAATCTGGCCTATGAAATCCTCGAGCCAGAGCCCACAGAAATTCCATCACTTAAATCAAGGTAGGAATGTAATTTAAATTGTTGTTTTGCATTCTTCATCCTACCAAACATATTAAAGGAACAAAATAGTTTTATTTAGTTAAGGAATTGGTGATAAGGGGCCCTAGTTTCAGATTGTAAGTAGAAGAATCGGGGAAAGATTGGAAAGATTTTTTTTATCACTCAGAGTGTTATTAGTTGATAGAATTCCTGAGCAGTAAATACTGAGGCTGGATCAATAGAATTATTCAAAGGGGAACTGGATAGCTCCACAGCAATTAAAAAAAACGCTTTCATACAGACTAAATGACTATAAGTTGTTTATTTTTGTGGTTAATTAGTGCTTATATACGACATAACATGAAATATAACACTGTAGATGGAAAGCAGTGTGATTGTCCTGGGACATATAAAAACTGATATGGTTTGCTCCAAGTTGGTGTGGTGAAAATCAGCTGGAGTTCCAATTTCAATAGAAAACGCCTGCATCTGCTTCTGAAGCTTATCTGTGATGCATTCCATGATTGAAAATAGCTACATATATGGACTGAGGTTGCAAAGAGCTGCTGACATCAATCCTTCAACGTAATGTGCTGTCTTTAATAGTCAAAGGATGAATCATTTCTCCCCCCCCCCCCCCCCCCCCAAATGTCGCATGAGTGGAGGAAACCAGTCAATCATCTCTGGAATGTACCACAGTTCTGGTATATCCAGTACTGTACACAATACTGGTGCTGTGAATATACTTATACAGCAGCAATGGGGGAGGATTCTAAATAAGATGCTTAATGGGATCGAGAAAGTAAACTGGAACAATACTTTCATCCAAGGCAAGGCAGCTTAGGGCACAATGACCAGGGTTATGAAGGGTAAATTTAAACATAAATCACAAACTATTTATTTAACCAAAAACTGGAATAAATGACCAGAATAGTTGGTTAAGGCCAAGGCACTATTCTCAATTAAAAAACATTTAGATACTGTGATGGGAGACAGTAGGGTTGATACTCTGAGAGGATGAAATCAACTAGTCTGAAGGATCTTCTTAATTTGAATCATGTTAGTAACCTATTTAGTTACACAATTTTTATAAAGTCCAATGTAAGACAGATCACAACCATTAATCAGGTGACAAGAGGTGAAGTTAGAGAATGAATGGCAGATCCAGGACTGCAATGAGATGGTTGTCAATTTACATTCTGTCAATTTACAGGTATTTGCTGATTTAATCCCAGTTTGACGTCATTTTAATCCCTCAATGTTTATAACTGTTCAAAAATATATTTTTCTGTGGTGCATGCAAACAGTCAAATTCAGTATCTTTTGCCTCTCACATGATTTCTTTAAAAAAGATTCATAGAAGACATAAAAGAGAAAATTGCAATGAATACCGTTCTGAAGAATCCACAATTAAAGTAAATTAAAGTAAATAAGGGAAATCTTGCAATTTTAATCCTATTACATTATATAAATGTAAATTTGTATAGCCATTGTTGTCCCAATGCCATTGATTAAGATGTAGATGAGCAGGGATAGTAAACAAACATTGAAGAATCCACAATTAAAGTAAATTAAAGTAAATAAGGGAAATCTTGCAATTTTAATCCTATTACATTATATAAATGTAAATTTGTATAGCCATTGTTGTCCCAATGCCATTGATTAAGATGTAGATGAGCAGGGATAGTAAACAAACATTGACACTGATACACATGCTTGTTTTATACATGTATTAGGGGAGATTACTCATTTATGCAACAGATGTGCATTGTTTGTGAAGATGTCGTAATTTCTCCAGCTGCATGTATCCAAGATGCTAGGCAAAAAGTAATAGCTCCTCCATCATCATTATAGCTTGTCCTGTTCTCAAATATCATTATCTATGTCTGTTAAATAACCATAGATCACACAAAAGGTCCAGATAAACAGAGCCCTTCGGACGATTTGATGTCATCATTCCAGAAAATCCATCCATCTATTACTGAGATAGTAAATCATTTCAGTATCCTAGCCTCCACCACCCTTCTGGTAACCCAGAATATTGATTGGTCTTGGGGTAAATGAATACCGCCTGGTGTCTGTTTTAAAATTGTGCTTCGTATCCCTGAAACTTGCTCTCTTGTTCTATCTTGGGATATCTGAAAGTATTGCTCTGCAATTACTTTCTTACACAGATTTACAAATCTTACATACAAGTATGTTGTAACCTGTTCTCAAGTGTGTGCCAGAGGTAGAAAATTGAAAATCAGTCTACTTTTATGTCAGGACAAACGGTGAATACTATTTTGAAGTCTAGGAGACTAGTTCATTAAAATGAAATTTACCAATTTACCAATATGATTTTCTACTTCTAAAGGGAGCTCTATCATTACCATCAATCATTTTGTTATAATGACAGAATAAAAGATTGTTATTTTTAGTGATCGGTGTAATAACTGACTTCATTGAGTAAAGGACCTTGAACATTAAAACACTAATACTTTTAATACTTAATACTTTATTATTGCAATAATAGACAAATGCTTTGAAAATGATTGAATGTTTTGGTTCTGACCTATGGTGTATGTGTGGCCTTACCCTGGACCATTAATAAAAAATAATTTTAATTTGAGCATAATGTACCAAATGAAAATGTGTGACCTTTCTCTCGTGTTTATGCTCGCTGTTATGACTCAGTTATTTTTTTTTGATAGTCAACGGGCAGCTGGCAGTGGAAATATGTCAGGCCCCCAAAGAGAATCATGGGCAAACAAAGGGCCTACTTACCAAGACCTCTACACTCAGAATGTTATCATCAATGTGGAGGAGCATGATGTTCAGAACAAAATGGCGCCTGATGAGAAGCCAACTAAGGAGAGGCCAATCTGGATGAGGGAGAGCACTGTCCGGGGAGGCTTTGCAGAAGTGGAAGAAGTCCAGGATGGTGAGATGAGTTTTCTGTTTGTTGGGCTATGAAGTTAAGAAAACGTATATAATAACCTTCCACTGGTTTTGCCTTCAGTGACCTGTCGATAGCCCTAACTCCAATGTCAGAATAGACTCTAAATGGGGAAGCATAATTAGGGGTAGATGAGCAAAGGAATTTGAGCATCAAAGTGCCTAAGTTGTTAACATTTAGTTTTCAAGGGCAGAAGGCAATTAGTAATGCTCATGGGTTCCTGGGCTTCTTAACAAGAGGACGAGAATATAAAAACAACAAGATCTGTTGTAATTATATTGAGTACTGCATTGATTTCATTTGGAAAGTTGTGTTCATTTTTCAGCACCAGATTGGCCTTAATCATTGGATTCCAACAACAAAATTGCATTTGTATAGCGCCTTTCACATCAGGAGGACGTCCCAAGGCACTGATCAATCGGTGTTTCTGACCAGCTGGGGATCGGGAAGGGTGGGAGGGCAGGGGGTGAAGAAAGGTGACCGAAGGCACGGTTAAAGAGGAGGGTCTTGAGATGGGTCTTGAAGGAGGCAAGGGAGGGGGCGAGGGAGTGCGGGTCGAGTTCCAGAGGGTGGGGGCAGAGTGGCAGAAGGCCTGCCCACCAATTGTGGGGAGGACAAGGCGGGGGACTTAAAACAGCCAGTGCCCACTGAGTGGACGGAGCGGGCAGGTTGGTTGGGGGTTAGTTGGTCGCAGAGATAGGGGGGAACAGGGCTATGGAGACCTTTGAAGGTGAGGACCAGGATCTTGAACTGTATCTTCTGTGTGATGAGAAGCCAGTGTAGTTGGGTGAAGATGGGAGTGATAGAGTCACGGAGCCTGACACTAGAGAGGACATGGGCTGCAGAGTTATGGATGATCTGCAGCCTATGGAGGGGGAAGGCAGAGTGCGACATGGGAAGGATGTGGGGTAGAAAGGATAGTTGAGATAATTGAGTTGGGATACCAAGGTTCCAGGCTGGCTTAATAAGGTGGAGCGCGCATGGCCATAATCATTCTATTTCTCCTGTATTCAATTCCTGTATGAATAAATAAAACTTTTTTTAAAAACTAAATATTATTATTTCCCTGATGCATTCTTAATAGATGCTACAGATGTTGACCCATACCAAGATCATGAGGGGAAAGGCAACCCAATTGAAGCAAATGAGGAAGTCATGCAAACATTGCTCATCCACGAAAAGAAGAGCACATCTGCAGCTGTGGCTGCAGCTGCTGCAATCCCAACATCAAACGCCAGCGACTCTGAGAGTGACACCAGTGAATCAGAGGATGAGTCGCCTCGACCATTCTCATTCCCAGAGATAGCACCAGCAGCAGATGAAGATGATGAGTTTGAAGAGGTGGAGGATGAGCCAACTGTATTGGTAGCAGGCCAGCCATATTCATATAGCCAAGTTAGTCAGCGGCCGGAGCTGGTGACACAAATGACTGCAGAAGAGAAGGAAGCATATATTGATATGGGGCAGAGAATGTTCCAGGATATGTATGACTGATCTGCCACATCACAGGATACTTTTAAAGTCCTTGCTGTATATCCTGCAATTTTATTACTCAGTGTTTCCACAATTTCAGTTGTATATGCCAAGGTATTAAGACAGCATTCCATTCTCAACAAAAATACAAGATGAATTTGAACGATATTTCAATCAAAGTATTAGTTTTTAAAAGGTTTAAAATGATTAAGTGCCCAATATCTAAACTTGTTAGGCATCTTACAGGAATTTTCATGTATATTCTTCCCTTGGAATTCTACTTATCCTCGTAGATAATGAGAATTCTATAACTAACAATAATAATAATAATCCTTGCATTTGATATAGCGCTTTTCACATCTTCTAGATGTCTCAAAGCGCTTCACAGAATAGACTGTAAAGTGAATTGACTATATATTTGTAGGTGAGATGCGGCAGCCAAGTGCGCACAGCAGTGTCCCACAAACAGTCGTGGATTGAAATGACCAATTTATTATTGTTTTGTTTTTTGGAGGGATTATTATCAGGTGTGTGGAGTAAGGAAACTTGCCCAAGGTTTCACCCTGCTGGGAATCAAACCCAGGTCTCTCTCTTGCAAAGTGAGCGCTCTAACCATTGAGCTACAGGACTCCACAATAGATCTGTCTGAGTCAATGGTGCTTCTTGTTTAGTCAGTGAGAAATATTTCAAGTGGCTTCTGCCATTCAAAAAAAAACTCACTCCAATCTGGTTGTCTATCAGGTACCTGGTTAAGCACCAATAGCATTTTCCTAACATTTCAAATGATGGGTAGACCTGCCTCAGCCTTATGTTTGGGAGGCAGAACTTTAGCTCACTTGAGCACTATCCAACACACAATATTTGTATGTTGACATGACATATTTATTTTCTGTTTTAACCAAATTATTCTAGTCCTTGAAATAAGCATGTTTGAAATCAGAGTGCTTGCAAGCCCTGGGTCATTCATATCAGTTCAAAGAGCAGCCAATTAAGCAGCTATTCAGAAATACATCACTTATGAAAATATTTTTTAAAAACTGATCACATGAAAACTGATTTATCAAGATAAAACTCTTGAATATTTTATTTGAAATAAAAATATTTTAAATGGTATTTGGTATAGAGCACTGCAGTTTTAAAACAGAGTTGGGAAAGTGCCAAACCACAGTGAGCCCTCTCATTGTCAGTATCATTGTCTTCAACATCATGGGTGGAACTGTATGTATTGTCCTCACCTAGAGTCTGCCTGCAGGACAATGGTAAAAGTGTTTAAGTGGTTCAGTTCCTTATTTTTATTGTTCCCAGCATCTGATTTTTGAAAAAAATATTTTAAACAGTCGACACTATTTGGGGTTTCTTTACTGTAGGTTCAATGTATCGGTTGTTACAGAAAGATATAAGTACACGGTCTAAGTTTGTGTTTGCTCTCTCATGATCTCGCTCAGACTAGTTAAACTGACGTCATACTTTGTGCTACTTTGGCCATTTTATTGGACAGTCCCTTTCTGATTATCCGGTTTGATAGTCAGAATCAAACTGCAAGACATCCACTCTCAGGTTCATGCAGCTTATTAAAAATAACGGAAGTGTCTTAATTACTTTGCCAGTAGCTTTGACAGAACATATCTATGTAGAGGTTTGAACACAATATTTTGATGGCAGCGTCCACAATCAAAACAAAAACATGAAATGTACTTTCTTAATGTCAAGAATCCAAGATAATAATTTTATTTTATTCCACTTCATTTTATAAAACTATAGCATTAGGCATATACAATTTATGGAAAAGTTTTTTTTAATTGTAGGTAAACAGACAAGTATCGAAAAACTGTTTTATGTTAATCATGAGAAGAGCTTTCTGACAACAGGAATGTTGTGCATCTTAAAGAGTGTAATTGTATCATGAAGCAATATGGTTGTATTGCCTGCTTTACCTGTGCTTGTGTATATGACTATAGAATAGTGGATATCAAACAGTAGTTATGTAAGAATGCAATATAATTGAGGGACTTCAGGTTACATTGTAAATTGGGAATACAAAAGTTATCTGATAATAGGATACTCTATCCTTTGAACTCACTCCCTGCTACCTGTTTAAATCTTCTACGTGATTTCTTTTGTATATTGCTAGAGGTCAGGGCATTCTGAGTTTTAATTATTTTTAGGGCAGTTGGCAGTGTATTTTATATCTGGTACAAGACAGGATGATGAGTTTTCTGAGAAATTGCCTGCAGTTAATTCCAGGGAAATACAGAATCCTTTCATGTAGACTACACTGATGCAATAAACCATAATGTCGCTTTATCCTTGCATGAAGGGACCTCTGTAATGCACTATTATGGTGCAATATTATTTATTTTATGGGTGTTTTATTTTTAAAAGATCTTGAATAATGAAATTCAGTTAAATGGTTCTGTTCTCATTAAAAATCAATAATATACAATATATGTTTATACACATATATATGTTTGAGATGCTGGGAAAAATACCTCTCCGTTTATCCACTTGCCAATATCTATTAAAGCAATTCTATAATCCTCCTTCGCCTTTCACACACCTTGTGAACATCCTTTTTTGTATAGATCTCAAATCTGGCATTACAGAGAGATGTTGCGTTATATTTTTATTTAATTGTCCTCAAAGGTTGTGAAGTTATTTACCGTTATAGATGTATGTGTCCAATAGAACAGAAAAGTTGTTCACTCAGGGTTTCATATCTCATCTTGGCTTTCTTTTACAGAGATGATTCCTTCCATCATATGTTTTCTCTGTAATCAACTTATCATGGAACCATAGTAATAGGGAAAAAATATTTAAAGATTCAAGCAGGAAATGGAGCCCTGGGCATGGCTCTGCAAAACCTGCCTATCCTATGTTGAAAGACCATTGTAACAATAGGTTCAGACACATACTAATACCTTGATTCAGTTTAACAGGCTCATTATAATTGCAATTGGCCCTATCTTATCTAAAATTTAAGTGGATTGTGTCCTGTAGAAGAAATACACCTTATAAAATCCAAATCAGCATATTTTGCTTTTATTGTGTTTTTTTGTTTCAAGAAAAATTCAAACTTTTAATTGCCTAAATTTTCAAATAAAAACTTTTTGCCAATGCACTGATTGTGTCTGTAAATATTTTGGGTGATAGAATTGCTTTGTTGATTAATTTGTCTTATGTGAGCCGGGAGGTGAGGTAGATTTTGGTAGAGGAGAAATTGTATGTTCTCCCAGCTGTACATGGATTGGCTTCCACAATAGTACATATTACGGCACAGATTTACAAAGTTACTTCTGACAATATTGGGTCTAGTTTGTGGTACTGTATTTATTAACTTTATAAGAAACTATACTCAAACACTCCTTCCTGTAACCGGAACTATATCATGCCGACCTGCAGAAAATGATCTTGGGGCCAATCTATTTCCAGAGTGGAACGGGTTAATGATGGTGTTGGGAATTCAACAACAACAACAAAATGGCATTTGTATGGAGGATGTCCCAAGGCGCTAGACAGACAGAGTTACACACCCGAGTTGAGGGTCGGGGAGGGTGGAGGGCAGGGGGTGGAAGCAAGGAGATAGAAAGCACGGTCAAAGAGGAGGGTCTTGAGATGGGTCTTGAAGGTGATGAGGGAGGGGGCGAGATGGAGGGACTGCGGGATGGAGTTCTGGAGGGTGGGTGCAGAGTGGAGGAAGGCCCACCTGCTGATAGTGGGGTGAGCGAGGCGGGGGACATGAAACAGGCCGGAGGCTGCTGAGCGGAGGGAGCAAACAGGCTGGAAGGGGGTTAGGAGGTCGGAGAGGTAGGGGGGAGCAAGACCGTGGAGGGTTTTGAAGGTGAGGACCAGGATCTTGGAACTGTATCCTCTGTGTGATGGGAATCCAGTCGAGTTGGGAAAGGATGGGGATGATCGGGTTGCGGGCCTGGTGCGGGAGAGGACACGGGCTGCAGAGTTCTGGATGATCTGCCGCCTGTGGAGGGAGGGGTTGGGGAGGCCGACAAACAATGAGTTTGCATAGCTGAGCCTCGATGTAAAGAAGGCGTGTATGAGGGATTCGGCGGCCTGTGTTGTGAGACAGTGGCGGAGCCAGGGAACATTGCAGAGGTGGGGGAAGGCAGAGTGGGTCATGGCTCAGATGTGGGGTAGAAAGGATAGTTGAGGATTATACAAAACCCCAAGATTCCGGACTGGCTCAGGTGAGGAGGCGCTGACGGGAGCCAATTAGGAGACCTCGGTCTTGTTAACAACTGTTGAAAAGTAAGCATCGGATGTATTAAGACCCATAGACTAATTCTAGATATTTACTTATATAATAAATAAAGATTGTTAAAAATGCACGAACACTAAATAACCGGGAATGTTTTAAAATTTAGTTACAAGAAAATAAAGTGACTTATGATAACATTATTGACTTTCCCAACAGGACACTGCCTTGGATGGCTAGTATGACGTTCAGTTCAGTAGGTTTCTCTCACTCTCATTTTCATTTTTAATTTCTATTAAGACTTAATAATGAATTTCTTCCTTCTAATTAAAAGCTGTTATACCAGTTGCTCTGAAAATATAAGTAAACTGCTGCTTGTAAAAACGATATATTAACACTATTCCCAGTCAAGGAGGAGTCGCTGTGATCGAATGAGTAACTCAAATCACAAAATAATAAGAAATGTTATGAGGAACAGCCTTTGCTCTCAGCAGCCCTTTTTTTAGGCCTATCTTGAACATTTTTGAGAACTGAGTTTGGACATTGCATGTCATTTTTGTCAATTCAAGTGTTAAATTGTAAATGCTAAACACAGTGAATGATGTACACAATTAACCTCAATAAATGTTCAGCAATCAACAGAACTACAAATCCAAATGCTGAATTATAATGAGCAAATCAGAGTGACAAGTACATTATTTGTTAAAGGGAATCAACTACTTACTAAAGATCCAAGGAAAGGAAATTGGAGAAAAGGAAATTGAATAATAGCTTGTAAAATGTAATCAAGTTGCAAGCAACGTAGAAACACACCCTGCTTGAATGGATGAATAAGGCCAAATACCATTTTTTATTTACAGTAAGTAAATGATGGAATTATGGTACTAAGAGACGATAGACAGGAGAGTTTAATTGGTGATAACGAAGATGATTTAATTTTCATTAGCTTGCTGTATTCAAATTTATACAAATTGGTGCCAGAAAGAAAGAAATATTAAAGTCAGTATGCTTTCTGCTGCAGTCGACTGACCAGTGTATGCTACATTTCAAAGGTAGAATTTCAAATCCCAGCTCAGAGCTGATCCTGAAAAACAGAGTAACTATAGCAATACTGTATAAGTTTTTAAAAA